GATTGGTGTTTTGGATTAAGCTGTTATCATATAATCTAAAACAAGCGCGTGTACGGACAAACTTTTATTTTCGTCCAAGGATTTAAAATTTTTGTACTATGGGGTATTTGGCTACGAGAAGTCGATTGAATTTGGTCACAAGGCCCTTACACTGGAAAAAATCCAGTTTCCGCCCTACAGCCCTTTAAAGTGCAGATATGTTATCGTCATTCCCTTTTTGTAGCTGCAGTAAATAAAACAGCCGATACAGGTAATTTGTATATAAATCTATGAATTTATAAAGGTGTATTAAAATGTTTTCTTTGTATCATCTAAAATTTGTTCAATTTGATAAACGTACAACAAAATTTCTTTAATTTAGCAAAATAACTTATCTAATAAATTTAATGTTTAATTCAATCCAAGCAAAGTTCGGTCTCCGGGTATTTTATTCATATTCATGGTTATCTGTCAGCATAGGTTTGAATTATTTAAAATTGTTTAATTTACTTATGTTTGTACATTATCTTGTGATTAATCATAACTAAATTAAGATATCTGTATCGGAGCATTGTTCTGTAGCTGTAACATAAATTAAATGCTCTATAAATAACATCTGATACTGTTCTTTAAGCTACCTATGTTCGCGTGGCGTCTTTACTAGTTTGACTAGAGTTGGGACTATCTCTATCTCTTTCTAACAACATTTATAACTTTCTACTCAGTTCGTGGCATACAGACGCTAGCCTTCTAATCTGTTAACCAACAGATGCGGTCTCATATGTTTCTTATCTACACCTCTGATAAATTCCTCTGAAGAATAGTTCGCAAGAATACAACTTCAACTAGGTGTAAGAATATGATGATAAATAGAGCATTATCATTGCAAATTTTAAATGTGTCTGAGTTTTTAGACCCGAACCATGCTCGAACTAAATTCAAAGAAAAAATAATAGAATTAGAAAAGAAGGTTATATATCTTATTCCATCTATTTCAAAATTTTGACTTCTGAGCTCTGAGCTCTGGAACAAAAACCCAGCTAGAGTTTACATCCAGGCAACCTCTTTAAGAAGTATAAATCTATGTTTATTCGAAAAAAATCGTAAACCAGCGTTATCAATATTTTTAGGCTTTTGTTGCAGAATTGTCGGATTCTTTAGACTATTATATGTCATCGCTTGATTTAAGCCGGCCAGGTGAATGTCTTTTAAAAAACTACGGTGCCACGAAACTCATCAAGCCAGCGACAAATCTCTTCATCATCTAGTAGATTTAAATTTAGTTTAATTTAGCAATCAATATAAACTCTGTGAACCAGAGATTACACTGTGTGCCTTTTGTTGCGCCACAAACATTGCACTGGCGTCAGGCGTGTGAGCTCAATAGCAGGCCGCTATATTAGCAATAAATTCAGAACCTTATATATATGGTTCTGTATACAGTACATTGATATTAGTGGCCTACTACCGCGCACCTGTTTTACGCATACCAAGGTCAAAGTTTCCTCCCTTGCTACACGGGAAAAATAACTTAGTTATTTTAGCTTCAATTTGACGTACAAAACGTTAGTTAACTTGAATAGTATCCAAGCAATTACCATTAAAAATCCCGGCATTCTTTTATAAACGCCCTGTATGTACTACTTTTAACTTACATTGTTTTCTCGGCTCCTCGATGGGTGGAAAAATAGCGGGACCTCGGATGTGCTAACTGAGTGTGTGTGAGTGCTTAGGTCCTCGGTTGTGTGGAAAAACAACGGGACCTCAGATGTGCTAACTGAGTGTGTGTGAGTGCTTAGGTCCTCGGTTGTGTGGAAAAACAACGGGACCTCAGATGTGCTAACTGAGTATGTGTGAGTGCTTAGGTCCTCGGTTGTGTGTAAAAACAACGGGACCTCGGAAGTGCTGACTGATAGTGTGTGTGTGCTTGGGTCCTCGGTTGTGTGGAAAAACAACGGGACCTCGGAAGTGCTGACTGAGTATTATGTGGGTGCTTAGGTCCTCGGTTGTGTGGAAAAACAACGGGACCTCGGAAGTCCTGACTAAGTGTATGTGTGTGCTAAAGACCTCGTTTGTCTTAAAAACACCGAAAAGTACCAATTAATTTGTTTAGTGCTTGTGAAGTTTTTAAGGTAAAAATGGTAGGCTAAGATTTTCAGAGAGGTAAAATATTTAAAGAAAGAACAAATGCCATTGTCATTAATTCTTAATGGTGTTCAATATAAGTAGAGAGTTCTGTGCCACCACTGGCTTTAGGGGGTTGCATAAGGTTGCATGAAGGGGGCTGCTTTCCTTGAAGAAGGGTCACAAAATTAACTGTAACATGATATGGAAGACATATTTTTGGGAATAAATTTAAGAGCATAAGTAAATTGTTGCATTTTTAAATTCACTTATATTTTTTTTGAGCACTTGTTTTTCCAAGATTTTCCAAGAGGACTAGACCCTCCTGATTCCTGGACCCCATCAACCCCCTGGTAAGTCCTTTCCTCTGAACAATATTCTGGTGACGCCTTTTCATTTAATTTTGTACTACGTTCACATAATGGTGCTTTAAGCTTTTGCCAAGAATTAGTTTACACATTATTTCAGACTAAGCAAGAGGGTCACGCCATTGTTAAAGAGATAAAATACATTGGTGATTTGCGGGCTTTGAACCCAGGAACTTTGGGAACGAAGTCCCGCGTCCTACAACTAGTCCAGCCCACTCTAATAGCTTTTAATCAGATTTTGCTACTAAACAATGACTTTAGATCAGGTCATCCAGTTGAGCATTTTTAGGACCTCGTTTGTCGGTACAGAAAAGTAAGACCTCGCTTTTGTGCATAGGGTTGGTATTTTTCAAACTGACTTAAAAAATTAATAAATAATGTTGTAAGGTATCTTATACATATACAGGGTGAGTTTTAATTGTCCCCCCCCCCAACTTTTTTCTACATTTTTTCAAATATCAATCCCAGACCACTTCCAAACATTGTTGGGTAGTAAGTACTTCATTTTGACAAGGTGGTCATTTCCGGCCGCCATCTTGGATCCGCCATATTGGATGCAAAATTTTTTTTTCAAATGTAAAGGTGGGGTTGTGACCCATTATTTCGAACTACATTTTTACCCTGATTACAATGCCGCAAACCGTTTTTAAAAATCTTGATTCATTCTAAAGTTACGAGGGCTTTTTAAAACTTTATTTTTAGCCCATTTTAACATTGTGCATTTACAAACTAAGACCATAATCCCAAAATAGTGCTAGATAATGATAAGTATACACTACCAGTAATTGTCCACCTATTTTCACTTGGTTATGACTGATGTATTTTTTTCGGCCGCCATCTTGGATCCGCCATTTTGAAATGTGATAAATTATTTTAAATATGAAGGGGGTGTTGTGACCCATCATTTTGAACTACTTTTTTAAGCTAAACTCAATGCCGCAATCCATTTTTTGTTATCAAGTTTAATGTATGAAATATTGAAATTTTTGTGTTAAAAATGTCAATATTTCAAAATCAAAAAATGAAAATGAAAAACGAATTATGGAATTGAGTTCAGCTTTAAAAAGTAGTTCGAAATAATGGGTCACAACACCCCCTTCATATTTAAAATAATTTATCACATTTCAAAATGGCGGATCCAAGATGGCGGCCGAAAAAAATACATCAGTCATAACCAAGTGAAAATAGGTGGACAATTACTGGTAGTGTATACTTATCATTATCTAGCACTATTTTGGGATTATGGTCTTAGTTTGTAAATGCACAATGTTAAAATGGGCTAAAAATAAAGTTTTAAAAAGCCCTCGTAACTTTAGAATGAATCAAGATTTTTAAAAACGGTTTGCGGCATTGTAATCAGGGTAAAAATGTAGTTCGAAATAATGGGTCACAACCCCACCTTTACATTTGAAAAAAAAATTTTGCATCCAATATGGCGGATCCAAGATGGCGGCCGGAAATGATCACCTTGTCAAAATGAAGTACTTACTACCCAACAACGTTTGGAAGTGTTCTGGGATTGATATCTGAAAAAATGTAGAAAAAAGTTGGGGGGGGGGACAATTAAAACTCACCCTGTATAATGAATAATCAATAGCAATCATAATTTAAATGGTTTTTGTTAATTAAATAAAAAATGTTTTAGTTGAAGACCCCCAAAGTGCTAATACGGTACGAGACCTCGCATGTGCTAATACAACGGCACTTCGCACATCCGAGGTCCTCCTACACGTCCTTGTGCGTGTGTGTGGGTGTGTGTCTGGTTGTACATAGGTACAGATCGGACCTGTGGTCCGATTTTGATGAAATTTGGTATGTAGGTACTACTACACGGTATTTCCGGGTATTTTTAGTCTTTTAATTTTTATTTTTAACGGTGATTTTTTGTATAAAACCCATAAAATAACAAAAGATTTTGTTTAAATGCGCTCCAACTATTTTAATTCAAGTTTAGTATATTATAGCCCTTTTAACTCTTAAAGAGTGCACAAAAATAAGTGCAATGGAGTATAAACCCCATTGCTGTAAAAATTTGGGTTCTTTTGTGTTTGTTTTCCATAAAAACCCATAAAATAACAAAAATATGATTTCCAAAAAAAAACTGCTCAATCGGTTTTGATTAAAATGAAATATACTGTATTATAGTCTTTTTTTTACTGTAAACAAAATGTTACAACCCTAATTGCTATAAAAATTACTGCTCAAAAGTTAATGCATCTTTTGTGATTTTTCCAATAAAATTATAGTTAAACCCACCTTTTACCCATGATAAGAGTTGTTGACAAGCTAATGAGAGAAAGTATGTGTTGGATTGCTGATACCCTTTATTTCACTCCACTCTCAACTCTTATTTCATTACCCCTCTGGTCCTTTGATCTATTTATCATTTTGCCTTACCTTTTCTCATTTTATTCAGTTTGATCTCAATTGTTAACGTTTCTTTAAATTGTATTTTATTCCCATACCAAACATTGATACTTCGAGCCCAGATATTGTATATCAGTCCTTCCTCTGAGATTAATACCCCACCTTTGACTCCACTTTTGCAACAAGAGTAGGCTGCAGCGTTGGCCGGAGCACTCAGGGCAGAGAGTGAGCAGATAGCCACAATATGACCAGAGTTGCGATCCTTCATGGAGGGTAGGAACTCCTTCGCCATCTGTACAACAGTCATACAATACTCAGGGCAGAGAGTAAGGAGATAGTCAAAATGTGACCAGAGTTGCGATCCTTCATGGAGGATAGGAACTCCTTCGCCATCTGTACAACAGTCATACATTACTCTGGGCAGAGAGTGAGCAGACAGCAACAATGTGACCAGAGTTGCGCTCCTTCATGGAGGGTAGGAACTCCTTCGCCATCTGTACAACAGTCATACATTACTCAGGGCAGAGAGTGAGCAGACAGCAGCAATGTGACCAGAGTTGCGATCCTTCATGGAGGATAGGAACTCCTTCGCCATCTGTACAACAGTCATACATTACTCAGGGCAGAGAGTGGGCAAATAGCCACAAAATGACCAGAGTTGCGATCCTTCATGGAGAGTAGGAACTTCCTCATCATCTGTACAACAGTCATACATTACTAAGGGCAGAGAGTGAGCAGATAGCCACAATTAGGCCAGAGTTAGGATCCTTCTTGGAGGGTAGGAACTCCTTCGCCATCTGTACAGCAGTCATACATTACTCAGGGCAGAGAGTAAGGAGAAAGTCAACATGTGACCAGAGTTGCGATCCTTCATGGAGGATAGGAACTCCTTCGCCATCTGTACAACAGTCATACATTACTCAGGGCAGAGAGTGAGCAGACAGCAACAATGTGACCAGAGTTGCGCTCCTTCATGGAGGGTAGGAACTCCTTCGCCATCTGTACAACAGTCATACATTACTCAGGGCAGAGAGTGAGCAGATGGCCACAATGTGACCAGAGTTGCGATCCTTCATGGAGGGTAGGAACTCCTTCGCCATCTGTACAACAGTCATACATTACTCAGGGCAGAGAGTGAGCAGACAGCAGCAATGTGACCAGAGTTGCGATCCTTCATGGAGGATAGGAACTCCTTCGCCATCTGTACAACAGTCATACATTACTCAGGGCAGAGAGTGAGCAGACAGCAGCAATGTGACCAGAGTTGCGATCCTTCATGGAGGATAGGAACTACTTCGCCATCTGTACAACAGTCATACATTACTCAGGGCAGAGAGTGAGCAGACAGCAGCAATGTGACCAGAGTTGCGATCCTTCATGGAGGATAGGAACTCCTTCGCCATCTGTACAACAGTCATACATTACTCAGGGCAGAGAGTGAGCAGACAGCAGCAATGTGACCAGAGTTGCGATCCTTCATGGAGGATAGGAACTCCTTCGCCATCTGTACAACAGTCATACATTACTCAGGGCAGAGAGTGAGCAGACAGCAGCAATGTGACCAGAGTTGCGATCCTTCATGGAGGGTAGGAACTCCTTCGCCATCTGTACAACAGTCATACATTACTCAGGGCAGAGAGTGAGCAGACAGCAGCAATGTGACCAGAGTTGCGCTCCTTCATGGAGGGTAGGTACTCCTTCGCCATCTGTACAACAGTCATACATTACTCAGGGCAGAGAGTGAGCAGACAGCAGCAATGTGACCAGAGTTGCGATCCTTCATGGAGGATAGGAACTCCTTCGCCATCTGTACAACAGTCATACATTACTCAGGGCAGAGAGTGAGCAGACAGCAGCAATGTGACCAGAGTTGCGATCCTTCATGGAGGATAGGAACTCCTTCGCCATCTGTACAACAGTCATACATTACTCAGGGCAGAGAGTGAGCAGACAGCAGCAATGTGACCAGAGTTGCGATCCTTCATGGAGGGTAGGAACTCCTTCGCCATCTGTACAACAGTCATACATTACTCAGGGCAGAGAGTGAGCAGACAGCAGCAATTTGACCAGAGTTGCGATCCTTCATGGAGGATAGGAACTCCTTCGCCATCTGTACAACAGTCATACATTACTCAGGGCAGAGAGTGAGCAGACAGCAGCAATGTGACCAGAGTTGCGCTCCTTCATGGAGGATAGGAACTCCTGCGCCATCTGTACAACAGTCATACATTACTCAGGGCAGAGAGTGAGCAGACAGCCACAATGTGACCAGGGTTGCGATCCTTCATGGAGGGTAGGAACTCCTTCGCCATCTGTATAACAGTCATACATTACTCAGGGCAGAGAGTGAGCAGACAGCAGCAATGTGACCAGAATTGCGATCCTTCATGGAGGGTAGGAACTCCTTCGCCATCTGTACAACAGTCATACATTACTCAGGGCAGAGAGTGAGCAGATGGCCACAATGTGACCAGAGTTGCGCTCCTTCATGGAGGGTAGGAACTCCTTCGCCATTTGTACTACAGTCATACATTACTCAGGGCAGAGAGTGAGTAGATAGTCACAATAAGTATATTTTCAACTAAAAAAGTTGGTTCTATGATATGCAAAAGTATTAAAAAGTTATAAGATTTACCAACAGGGTGCAGCACTATTATTTTTTGCATTCATGAAATCGCCTAATTTGAATCGCAACAAAAACTGTGATACGCAATGAGAACTGTCAAAGTAGAATTGTTTACAGTTATGTGCATGTTTTTAATTGCATGACAAATTTGTGATATTTTGCGAATTATTAATAGTTTATTTTCCTATATTGTTTAAGTGAAGTGGTAGAACATAATGGCTATAATAGATACGGTAAATTTAAAGAAGCAAATTTTATCAAAATGTGCCCTCCCCTATTGCAAACGCTAAGTTGGAGTATAACTGCAATAAGCATTTTACACTTATATGCCAGCCCTCTACGAAGGACGGTACTCCGCTAGTATAATTATATTTAAATACCTCTATTGAAGACTGAACCTATGTGATGGAAATACCTTTTTCTAAATTATGATGGAGATATAAAAACAAAGCTCACATAAAGATGAAACTGAAGCAGATGCTGGACTCAATGGATTCTAATGTCATTTCAGTCCCCACAGAAGAAAGTAATTCATGTTGTCCCAATAAACACTACGATAGGCATTATGTGTAAAGTGTGATTGTTGCAATAAACATCAGCTGTTTTGTCTTGTGTGCTGTGAGATTGATTAAATAAACATCAGATGTTTTGTCTTAAATGTAGCATCTTTGTTAATAAGTAATAGTAGAAAGATTTTGAATTTTAAATGCAGGCTTTACTATTCTTAGAAGACCAACTTGTGCAAAGTACTCAAAACTTTCTACATTTATGACCCTTTTCTGAAGCCAATGAATGATTATTGTCCTCACCCAGAAGTGGCTGAGCAGGTTGACTTCTACCACTGCGCGGAGGTCCGTGTCCGGCATGTCAGTCACAGTGTTGCCGTACATCAATCCTGCGTTGTTGACCAAGATGTCCACCGGGCCCAGATCCTCCGTCACCTCCCGCCTCAGTCTTTGGATGTCCTCTACCTTGGCTACGTTAGCAACGTACGCCTACAACCAGATCATGTTGTAGTGTAGTAATATGTATTAGATTGAGTAATAGTGTTTTCATAGTTTGTATTGTCTAATTGTAATTCAAAGGGTTGGTCGATTGTAAAGAAGTAAAATTTTGAACTAAATACAACACTCAAAAATTGACCTTGTTGTTATCACTTGTTGAATACAGTACTTCATTTGTGATTAAAAACTTGCTGGTTTTAGTTTTATGTAACATTTTCCTTTAATCCACCTCGCTTGTTATGCAAAGAAAAAGCGATATCATGACATATTGTTCGTTCAGTCACTCTTAAATCCAAACGCCAATATGAATTCTGTTTAACTTAATAATGGAAATGAAAGGTAAAAACTCTCCTAACCTTTGCTATCCCACCATTCTCCTGTATGTCCCTAGCTGTCTCCTGGGCGGACTGAGGGAACACATCCACCACTGCTACCTTGGCCCCTTCCTTGGCGAACCTCATGGCAAGTCCCTCGCCGAGCCCTCGCCCTGCCCCTGTCACCTAGAGAGGTATATGTACATCATGTAGGTACCAATCTACCGAGTCAATTGTTCCTGTTTTGCCAATGTGCCTAATTAATTAATTTGTTGATCTTTTATATTATGATACAACCGTATATCATACCTTATCGTATAAATTAAATATTTAAAAGCAATGTTTTTTTAATATCATGTACACTCAGATTAGGTATTCTTGGTACTATAATTAGTTAAATTATTTGATTATGGATAACATTGACTATAGTATTAAGTTTTTGCTCAAATTACCATCGTGACATTGAACACATTTCTGTTGATTCATGTAGAGTTGAATTCAACATGAGTTAAATTACAATTTGCGGTGAACGGGGTGAAGATGTATTACTACAACGCATCCGAACGTCGGCCACTATTCTCGCCAATTCAATAAAGCAGATACCTCCCGACCATGTTCGACAGTCTATACTGTACTGTACTTTGACCTTGTAATCCTACAATCAAGACACAATACTACTAACAGAAACAGTTGATCATAAAAATAAAAATAAAATCTACAGTTACTAATTAATTCAATAAATAATGCGTCAGAATTTTTTTTGCTGTTTTATAGAGAATGTATCGGATAGGGTCTTAGAGTGATACAATCAAAATAACAGTACCATTTGCAGTCAATACAATGCCGACGTAGTATCGAATTTCCCACATAACGAAAAACACAGATATGTAGGATTTATTTCGATTTAAAATGTCAGTGGGTGCATAAGGGTTTAAACAAAAACAGCTGATACAGAATGTCATATCCTCGACTAATATTGGTTAAAAACGTAGTCAAAGGACCGGTTGTCAAGGCCACGACCTTGGTACGTATCGTGCAAGTTCAGATCCAGTCACAGTAATTCTGCCCGACAACAGGTTCCGTTCTTTGCTTTGCTTTTATTTACAGACTTGACTGCAAGAACCGGCTTGATAAACTCAAGGAAACTCTTTGTGTTTTCAAACTCAAATAAACCCTACCCAAAACGTAGCCTGAACTTTGTAAATTAACATAATTTAAATTCGTTTTGTATTGAAACATGGGGGAGATAACGAATATTACTTACGGCACTAGCACCGACAGATCTATAAAATATTTTGACTCATCTAAACATAGATTTGTATTGAAGATGAAATTTAGTAAAGATTTATTTTCCCATCCAAAAATCGGCGTTATGTAACGTCTTAACGAAAGTCACACTAAGCAGGATGTGTGTTTTGCTTTGAGCATTGTAGCTTATTACAGTACTGTTACGCAAACACATTTTTATTTTAACGTTTAAAAGTAGGCACCCCTATTATTTTCTGAACCCACATTTGATTAACACTCCTGGATAAGACTCTTAACAAGGCTGCCTAATATTGTATGATTTCTGGGATGACACAATGCATGTTTTTACCAGAAGTAAACAAACCCCTGAGGCTCGTGTCTCGTCACGTGTCAGTCCATCTGATAACATCTACTGCCAGACAGAGAGGAACAACACATTAGGTCATTAGGTCATTAAACTGTGACGACAAATATACTACGGTATATAGCCACCAGCCACCGCAGCCTCTTGTATAACTTTCTAGCGAACAGTAGGTGTTTCCTGTGACTGGGAGTGGTTTTCGGGATTTGAACCTAACTACGAACTGCTAGATTACTACTGTGTGTTGCCAGACAACAGCTCTGCGACTGTGACTGACCACGAGACCAAGCAACACCAATATTAAAATCTTCCTGCAGCATCTTGTCGTACAGTTATTAGTTGAGCCATCGACTGTGTGTAGAATTAGACATACCATTCCCATGCTAGGAGTTTTACAATAAAAATAAAAATTTAAAATTTATAAAAATTAAATGAATTAAAAATATATAAATAATAAATAAAAGGAAATTAATTTTTTTATTATTTACTTTAGTTTCCAAAAGTCGATAGTCAATATGTTTAAAATCCAGGAGACACTTACCAGCACAACCTTATCTTTGAGGGATTTGCCTGCAGGAGGGACGATCTTCCTGAGGACGCTGTACAGTATTGCTGGGAGGATGCTCAGCATCAGTCCGAGGGTCTGTACCATCAACAGCAGAGGACTCCTGATGCCGGGTAGTCTGTCAGCTGGCGGCTGTAGCGGCTCTGGGCCACCGTCCTCCGCCGTGGCAGGCAGCGAGTCCCCGTCCTCGTAGTGCGGGGCTCCGTCCTTCTGGGCCGTCATCTCTGTGAACATTCTTCAACTCAGCAATAATATTAAATTTCCATTTCACAGATGTAGCCAGTTAGAATTAAAACATTGACACAGTTCAATCGAGCCACCGACAGAGTATGCTGCCGTCATATACGCCGACCTTTTAAACCTGGGCTAACAGACGACTCGCCGTCAACTGCGGCATCTTTAATGCCAAATAAGCTATCAAAGTATCAAACAAGTAAAGAATGAATTAGATTTTTACAGAAGCACTCTTCATGCCCGCATAATGCCTCTTCATGCTTTTGTGGTTCATTTTTCTATGTCCTCTTGAAGTTTTAAACCTGGCGATAATGTTTTCACTACTGTGAAATTACATGTTTTCGTTACATGTTTATCACCTGTGAAAATTAATCATTACATTTTTTTACTACGGAAAAAGAATGTTTGCAATGGGAAATTAATCTTTACTGTCTTTTTTCGATTTTGCCAACGTAAAGAAACTCAACTGTTTCAATTTTAACAACCAAAACTGTACTACCAAAATAAATTTTAAAATTGAAGGCATTACCTAAAAAATTCTATGGGTTTTGTAACAAAGAAACATACAAAGTCTGTTTTAATTAAGAAACGCTTGAATGTGGGTCTATACATATTCTCGACCATTTAAAGTGCTCGATAAATCTCGTATTTCAAACATGGTCTGAAATGTGTAATGACTCACTTTCTACTCTTGTTATGAAATATACTATTGAAGAAGATAGTATTTGCCATTAAATGCGAGTTAATTTTAATAAATGGTATTGAAATAAATTAAAACCCTTTACAAAAAAGTAAATAATATAATAATAATATAATAAATGATATAGTATAATAGATTTCTTATTTGTCCTATATTGTAATACATTGTTGGGTAATATGAATGTACACAAAGAGTGCATTCTATTTTACCAAGCCTCCAAGCTTGTTTGTTTTCCATTGTTCGCATTACATTTGAGTCATTCCTCGTCAGGTGGAGGATGTTTTGTAGACCACGACATGCCTTACTTGTACATTAGTTGACATTTGTTGACATCGCTGTGTTTACAGAATCATCCTGATAGTGTATTTGAACATCGATGGTTATACAGTATCTGAGTCGTCAGATAGTATGTTTGATTTGTTTTATGTGAGTACTAAATAAGTAAATCCGTTCGAACTATAATAATTATCTACTATTATAATATACTATTATAATAATAAGTAAAATTAATTAATTTAATAACTGAACTAAAATAACAGGCATTTACATTATACCACTGCACAGTGTCATTTTTCATATGATTTCATCGTCACATACGAATGGATTGAACAAAAACGAATCTTATTTCAAGATAATATGTAATGCATTTTTACTGTCTGTGAGGTACAACATTATTACATATAATTTGATTTGTCGTTAGCAAAGTCGCGACGGTGTATGCTATTGTTGATAATTTACAACAACCTGATAAGTGGAGACATCGTCAACATACGCTCGCTGCGCAGCTCATCGTTATTACGGACGAGAATGCGCCATCACACAAGCTAAGGTGTAACACAACAACATGTTAATTTGTATTTCCAGTAATAAAATGCTCGTAATTCCTGGTTAAAATTATGAAATCCTGCACGTATGATAGCAAAAGTGCAATTTTATGTCCGTAAATTAATTAGCATCGATCCAACACGTGACGTCCTTGTAAACAGCATCTCTTCTCAATGTATAAAAACCTCAATAAAAAATAAAACAAACGCTAACTTGATATTAGTCAATGTGATATGTTTCGATTTATACTAAGATTTATTTGCGTCCGTAAATATTTGAGGAGTCTGAATTCACAATATAATATTATTAATTGTTTAGCAATGTTCACGCAAGATTTTTTTATTATTTTAAGTAAACGTTTGATTTAACAGTGTAGTTTAAACTGAATTTTTTAGGTAAAAATATGTTTTTAATGCACTAGTTTAACTGGGAACGTATTTGACATGAACTTATGATGAAAAATGTCACAATGAAACTAATACACCTACAGTTACTTTTATCTATTATAACAATAGACTACGATTGCATTCTCAAATGTTTAGTAAACAATTAAAAGTAGGTATTTTTGATTACAAACCTTTTTTAAACATCGTAAAATGGACACTCAAAAGCACCTACAGTCGTGTAACCACTATAGTATTTTAAAAATCAAACAGAGTTAGTTGTCAATCATCAATAAAATCATGCATAACAGCATTGATTGAAAATTAACAAAAACTGCGTCATTATTACCGCCCTACCTCAGAGTGTGGTGGATCGTCGCAGACGTGCCACTAACAACAGACTGTTGTCTGTGTCTGTGCTGTGCTCGCTGTGGAGACGTCGTCCCTGAGGTCCCTACTAGTAGTTGTAGGCAGACGAGGGGACACGCTGGACCCTGGACCTGGACCTGGACCTGGACCTGGACCTGGATATTCGGAATGTCGACTGGCCCACCAAGGTCAGAGGACAGAACTAAACCGGGAAACAAAACTCAGTTTACATAACTGTCTGTATATGACCATAGGTCCAACGTAATAACGTGGTGCAAAGACCTATAACAATGCTACAAAACTCAGTTTACATAACTGTCTGTATATGACCATAGGTCCAACGTAATAACATGGTGCAAAGACCTATAACAATGCTACAAAACTCAGTTTACATAACTGTCTGTATATGACCATAGGTCCAACGTAATAACGTGGTGCAAAGACCTATAACAATGCTAAAAAACTCAGTTTTTTCAGTTGCCTCTTAAACGAAGTCTGAGAGATTACCTGGCAGGTTCGGGGTAAAACAAAATGTGTGATAAAATTGTATTAACCTCAATCATCCATTTATTTCCAATGGACAACTCAAATTGCAATAATGCATACATTTACTTCTTATGGTAGAATGTGTAATAGCTGGAAACAACAACTTGAGTAAACAACAGTAAAATGACAAAATAAACATTACATAATAAAGAACAAGAACATAAATAAAGAATAATTAACCATTTCGAATTTAACTACTGTATGTGATGGTAACACGAATGAGCATGATAGGCAATGTGCAAAAGAAAGACATTTCAAAGTAGCAAACAGGGTAACACATGAGTTATAATTTAATAGACAAGAGATATACATTAACTTGGACTTAATATTTACTTTTACGCTTAATATTTATAGTTACTAGCGGTCGTCCAGTGGTCGAAAGCTCGACCAAAAACATGTAATGTACACGTATTGACTATTGGATACTGAAGTAGACATTCCATCTATATAGACCAGCTGTCGCCATTTTTTTATTAAAAAACATGTAGTTGTATGAGCCAGTCACCAAATGAGTGTCTTAATTTCTATTTTCTACCTTATTTATTGTTGCTGACAAAGTTGATGGGTCATAACAGTTGCTATACCTCACAGTAAGTCAATCCATAAAGTTGACTTGGTAAAAAAACCATAGTTTATTTGACAGAAATTAGTCATTTGGATCAGCGCAATCTGTTGGCGGCTCACATCAACTACTTAGAATTTAATTAAAAAACTGATGACAATGGGGATGGAATTTAAAGGTACAAGCATCAGGCTTCTCTATTTTCACCCCACACTGTAAATAAAACATGTGATTGTAATTTCTTCCATTTGTTTTGATTTTCTGTTTATATTTCGTTGTTATCTCGGCACCAGCATGACAACCCATAAAGCCCATGTTAATTTTTTTTAATTTCAAATCCATTTTTTGTGCTTATATTTGAGCCTATTTTAATTTTTAAAGGGATTCTGCACTTCTAGGAACATAAATCTTTCTAACAGTATGCGTAGATTTTCCCTGCGATGCAAACAGGCTGAGAAAAAAGATTTTAAAGAAACATGCTTGCCTATTAAAATATAGATGACGGAATGACCGACATACCTGATAGTAGGAAAAAATCTGATTACAATTAGGTCCAATTAACCTATCCACGGAGTTTAAAAAATACCAAATTGAATTCAAGTAAAAAATTACGGAAAATGCCAACATGAAATTTTAAAATTATAGTCGTTTTCCAATAATTTATTGGTTGCTGAGAAAAAACTCAGTTACCAAAAAATGCAAACTACTATTACATTCATAGCAATTATTTGGGGTTTTCATCAGCCTCGTCACTGTACTTTGTAGGGAGATACCCTTTTATCCAATTTTAAAAAGTTGGAAAATATTGAAAATTTCACATCATACTACTGTATAAGAAAAGGGTGTGCGAAAAGGCCGTGTGCCTTTTTGCAAAGCTTTTGATTATCAAAGACACAACAACGTCTGTTGTTTACTGTTTCGTTAAGTATTAAAATGGATCTGTTTGAACACACAAATACTGCCAATTAAAGACGCTGTTTCAGACATTCGTGGTGTTTAAATTATTTTAAATATCCAGTCAGTATAGTAGACCTTAAGGGTCTTAGATGATGCCAGGGTATGTATGGATTTACAAGCACAATAACAAAATAAATCATTCAACTTGTCTCTAATTGATGCAATTATTACATCTGAACATATATGTAGCTTTTGCACGTTATTGCAGCACAGACTGTGTAGAAGCACCATCTTACTTGATTTGTCCTTTTCATTTCTCATTATTGTAAACCAATACATAAGTAAACTGCTATTTAGTAATTACTTGAGCTCAAGTCAACCAATAGCTTGCATCGTGCACGAACGTCTAATGATTCAAAGTTGGCCACGATTGATGGTTCGCGCCTCAGTGAGTTTGTATCATCACCTCATCAACGTCAGCATCTCACACACAGCTGATCATTACGTGTGACAGTAAATACCTAGCTTAGATAACTCGGGCAAATAATGTTGAGGGACGTTAAAGTTAAACTGTACAGGTGTTGATTGTTATGGCTTAAAAATTAGGTTAACAGTGACGTTTAAATGCCTTGTAATAATTTTAATATCGGAAGTTTGTTTGTGGATGGATATAGTTTGTATTAGTTAATATTTTTTTAGATAGGCTACCACTACATACTTTACCATTGTATTTAATTGCGAAAGCCTACTTGATGTCTCTTCAATGACTTATAATGTGTGATGGTTAACTTACAATACCTCACATTTAATCGTAAACATGGTTAAAAAATAAAACGATATTTTTATTATTGTTATAATTAAATCAAATAAAGTGTAGCATTTTACAAGCATGATGAAGAGACCTTTTAAAGATATCTTGACCTGGATTCATTATTATTTACACTATTAAAATCCTAATTCAGGCGCATTAAATTCGTCGTCAATATCGTAAAAACAAAACTAGTGACATAAACAAATGCTTGTACAGACATCTCAGTTGTAATGCAGTTTATAAACTTATAACAATCTTTGTGTTTGTCACAATATTCTTACGTAATTTTACCAACTAAAATATTTTAATCTAATAGAAGGTGAAATTGGGGAACTTTAAAACATGGGACTGCTGTTTAAGTTAGAGTATCAATTTTTTGTCTGGATTTCTATCTCAATCGCTATTAAAATACTTAACAATAAGCCTAACTTACCTGATTACTAGCTGTGCGTAAAACTCGCTCTACTTGGGCACAGCCGAAGTTCACCGCTGTGGTATGAACACCAGGCACAAGATAACGATGGAGTAAGATAGTTGTTTACCCGGCGAGGATAACGACACTAGTTTAGTAGACAACTGACAAATTAGCGATTCACTTTCCATTCTTCCGTTATTGGTCTCCGTTGATGTTCAGAGTCGGAAAGTCCCCAAAGCACGTGGCTGAGCATTGGCTTTAGAAACGGCAAAATAAAGCAAAAGTCTATTAAGTACCTAACGCCTTTAACCCCCAAAACCCATAAATCTTAAGTAAGAATACGAGTAGACCACTCAAAAACATTGTTCCTCTTAATTCCTTAATCGAAAGCAAATCGTCTGAAAAGATTTAAGGAAATTAGATCCTATTGTTCCATTAAATCGGTAAATAACAAATTATTGTGATTTGGAACTAGCATTATGGAATTGGTGAAAAATAAGTCTAAATATAATGGATTGTCTTGTTTTGACAATTGTAGTTTGCAATTTAAGTACAAATAGCTGAGGATTAAATAAGTAGGTTTACCCAATGTTATCAGAATGTATCCTTTATGGATAACGATAACAGTTTACTAATACTCTATAAAAATAATATGGTAGTTTTAAATTTACATTTTTATAGAATTTTCTTTGTAATCATTAGGAGTACAATCACGCTTCAATATACATTTTTTTAGTTAAAAAATGATTTGGAGTGAAATTGCAAAAGCTATTGTTTTGAGGGTCAAAAAAGGGGAAAACAAATTTTTATTCTATAATACAGTACCCCCATGGAACCTCGTCCCCGTAGTCCGATCAGCCTGGTGCGTTATTCCAGTCAGGGTTTTAAGGGGGAATAATTCCCTAAATGAGGAATCTTTGCATATGTGTAGTACTAGTACCCAGTTAAAACATATTAAAAAATAACATCCGTGCTATAACCACCATCTTGGAAAATGGTGGCCGAATTTCAATTTTACGATTTCGACCATATTTCACTAACCGTTGGAAAAACAGAAATTATGTTCGAACAAAAGTTAAAGAGCATACAAAAATATCAGTTAGAAGTGGTTGATTAAGTCGATACTAAGCCTTCTATCCCCATTTTGTTTATTTAAAATATTTACCTCTGAACCTGAGACGGAATCAATATTTAGTCCTGAGAATGTGCCAATATTATATTGCAGGACCTCGTTGTCTATTTTTTACTTCCGCTTAAAAAATGGCTTGTACGAGATAAAAAATATGATCATCTATCTATCTATATATTAATAGGCAAGCATGTTTCTTTAAAACCTTTTTTCTCAGCTCGTGTTCATCGTAGGGAAAATCTACGCATACCGTTAGAAAACTATTTTCCTGTAGGTGTGCAGAATCCCTTTATAAATTTAAATAGGCTCAAAGATAAGCACAAAAAATGAGTTTAAAAATTTGAAAATATTAACATGGATCTTATGCGTTGCCATGCTGGTAACGAAAATAACAACGAAATATAAACAGAAAACCAAAACAAATGGAAGAAACTCAAATCACATGTTTTATTTACAGTGTGGGGTGAAAATAGATAAGTGAGTACATTACGTATTTTTGGTCGAGTTTCGACCACTGGACG